ACAAAGAAGAAAAACCAAGATAACTTGACGTAAGGGCTAGTGAAGCGTTAAATGCATTAATTGTTCGAAAAAACTAAAAAAACGTAATAAAAACTATGATATTACAGAAAAAATGAATATTCACATTCTATAAAACAATCACTGTTGTTTATGGAGGGCAGAAGAAGAATTTATAAAGTTATTGGACATTGGAACTCTATTTGAAAGCTCATCTTGCACTAACAATACCGAAAATACAAGGAGAGGATACTAAATATAATAAAACTATGAATAAATTTATTTACTAGTGAGGTTAAACACAATTACATGACTACATGGCTAATTAGAAGGTTAAATATACTATTATACGCTTCTAATATTAATTATACGCTAATTAGAAGGTTAAATATACTGTTATACGCTTCTACTTATATAAATACAGAGGCTGTTCACACATTTTATAAACGATGTATATTGTATTCAAAAACCTAAATTACATAAAATTCTTGTGTTTTCAATGTTATATTTGTCATCCCTTATTCTGAACTATCTTTTGACACCGCAATTTCCAGGATACTAATGCCTTTTGGAAGTGGCAGAAGAGATATTCTATCCCATTCCTCCCGAACAGCTTTCCAGAGTCCTGTAAGGGTTTTGAGACAACGTTTGGATAATGCAGTTTTTAAAAGTACAAAAAGCACAAAACTCCATAGGTGACACATCGGAAGATTTAGTAGGGATATCAGTGAAGGGTATGGCCTTGATACCAGTTTTTTGTTCCATTTCTTTTAGAAAATTTACAGTGGATTTTGTTGTGTGACTGCCAGCTTTGTCCTGATGGAGTCTCATAGAATGATGGCACTGTGGGTAAAACGATGGTATTTCATTCAGAAAAAAATTGGCGATAAAATATGTTCCTGATAGTATCTGGAGTTAATCTTGACATTTTTTTGCACTCTCTTTTTTTAACTTGCCATTATAAGAAAAACCAGCAACAATCATGAATCTCTTAGAAAAACTTACTTTCGATTCTTTGAACCATGTACTTAAATTTTTTTCTCCCCTTTTATGATAATCAATGGCTCTTTTTTTTTGTTAATGTCATTTAAATACACCCATGCTTCATCTATTGTGACAATTGTTTTCCATTTTTCTTTGGATAAGTGTTTCTCATATAGAATTCTGCAGCGTGTCCTGCGTTGAGCGATATGCTTTGGAAGAAGACGATGCACATTGCGTTTTTTCGCTTTCTTAAGATTTAAATCAACGTTTATCATTTTGTTTACAGTGGACACTGAGCATTTTAATGATTTTGCGACTGTCCTTTGACTAGGGGTTTTTCGTTTAACATTAAACAACGTACCTTTGCAATAGTCGAAGATGTCCGCTTTTTCCTTGCATACTTGTTTGGAATTTTTGTCCCACTTGAGGCTCCAATTGACGTTTTTTTCCTTTATTATTGATGATATTACCTATTGTATTTGACGCTTTAGATATCACAAAACCATGACTCTCACATCGTTTTTGGATAACGGAGTATGCATATTCCTCTTCGGAAAGAGCGTAAATGTAGCCTTCGAACCACTGCTTTGTTATCGCCATTTTGAATAAAAACAAAACTTTGAAGCCACAGACGATAATTTTGACTTTTATAAAAATATAGTACAATTGCAATTACTTATTTTGCAGCAAACGATTTTTTATTATCGCTTACTAAAATCGTCCAAAAAATGTGCGAACAGCCTCTGTATAATTAGAAGGTTAAATATGCTTCAACTTAATGAAAATGCTTACTGGAGACCTTGCACTACTAATGCTGGGTGCACAAGGTAAACTTTGTTGTAGATATAAGGAATTCAAAGAATTAAATATCATTGTTATCAAAATAAAAACTCTTACTTTGTGTCTACTACTTTAAAAGTTACTTTACTACTACTACTTTAAAAGATATAAATGAATTAGAAATAGAATACGGGCTCTGCGAGCGACATGTTGAACTGATGACTGCCTGCTGCAATGTATTTGTTACAACTATGCACTACAAATATATTAATGCACTACCACACCACAAATGTTGGCCGTCTAAAACGAACCATATTACTTATATATTATAAAAGATTTCAAACAATTAACTATCATTGCAGTCATAACAAAAAGAGATCGCACTTAAAAAAAATGCGAATGAATAAGCAGAATACCCACAAGTAAAAATTCTAATATAATGCTCTGCGAAATGCGTGACTGCTTGTTGCGACGTACTGGAAATACTCGTTTGAGACAATTTTTTTTCACTACTCATACCGGGCGCGTAAAGTGAGCTGTGAGCTTTGTTGGATATTTTGTGTTCACCCATCCAAAAACAAAACGTAGTAAGATGAAATAGCCTATGCTTCGATTTTCTTCTTAGCTGAACTGTGGTTGGACTCGTGAGAAATTTCTCACGGAAATTAAAACCGTTAATGGATGATGCTATATGGCCTTCAGGTAAACCGTAATTTCCCAAAATATTTCGGCTCATCGCCCTGTTTTCGATTTTTTTTTTTTTCCATCACTTTCTTCGAATTTATCCAGCGTGCTTTCTCCTTGGAATAATGATATGAAATGCCCTTTGATTATGGGAAATTACATGCATTGAAATTTTTGCGCATGTTTTTCCAATTATGAATTTCAGCTCGTCACACACTTTGGAAATAGATTGGTAATAATTTAACTACACAATAACACATTAACAACTGTTTAATACTTAATAACACACACACATTTATAATAACGAAATTGACAAAACACGTACTGATTTCTGCTCAGGTACATTCAGACGTATATTAAAATAATATGCTATTGAATATCACTACAACCACAGACTTCTAGCTATGTTTTTAAAATTTCTGATCAACATTTTAGAACTTGCATTTTATATGCCCCATTGAAATAATATTTTTTTTTTTTTTTTTTTTTTTTTTTTTTTAACTTCCATGTAACAAGGATCAATATGCGGAAAAGCCGACTGGCATGAACTTGTATGATTTCAATAAACATGCGTGATTGTAACATATGTAGAATCTAGTAAAAGTTTAAGTGTTTGTTTTAAAATTTTGAATATGGCAAAGCTCACGCTAGCTATCTGCCTAAATGGGAGAGATGCCTTCGTGGAGGACTTATGAAAAGAATTTGGTTCGTATTGACGTTACACTTAAGGAAAACCACGAAAAACCAACAATGCCGCCAAACCATTTGCCTGGCTTCCAAATGTAAGTTGAACTACTAGTATTCAGCGGTTTTAACCGTTCCGTCACTAGTAAGGCCATTTCGGCAACTAATTTTTCGACCTACTGATGACTTTCCTCTCAACATCTTCTTAATGCCCTTCAATTTAGAAAATCTTCTTCTCGGTGCCCGACGGTGGATGGTACAGCCCAATTTGAGAAAATACGGTCACTTTCAAATCACTGTTTTTTGCGTTTAACGAACATATGAGAGCGTTCCTTTTATAATTTGCTTGTGTTCGCCTCATGTGTAAATTCTGTGCTCAAATATATGTCAGCAGATTTTTTGAGTTCAAAGTTTATAATTACCATAAATATTTACACTCAACGGAATTTTAATCGATCTTGGTTACAGTTATAAAACTTTATCACATTATCTCGTGCTCCCTACTACGATGTAAGTTGTCAGCACATTCTGTTGGAATTCTGTCTGCAGTTGGGATATCAGTGGATCAAATCTTGGAGAAGGACTGGCTTTTTTTTTTCTCTGTCGTATTCCAAAAAACCTAATTATCTGTTAATGGCGAGCGAAGTAATATGTGACGAACGATAACTTGCCACCAATCAGATGTGATCGACAATTTCTAATGTCTCTTCCCAGACGCCCTTTAACGCGATTTATTCGCCAATATTAAACGGGACAGTTCGAAAGACACATTACAGTTGTCGAAAAACTACGACAAACACGCTGAAACAATCAGCAACACAGGTTATAACAACAGCTTCACGGCAAAGCACTAAATTACACCTCCCGACTCGGTCGATCGCTCTCGCAACTCAAGACACACTCACTCAAGTATGAACTGAACATAATCTCGATACTCCTCACGATACAATACTCCGCGTACAGGCAGGATATATATAGCTTTTGACCTGCCTTCGAGAACATTCTCGGGAAAACCGGTAAGAATTTGTTCTAGAATGTTCTCGCTCCGTGTATGGCATATCGCCAATTTTGTTGCCAAATGGGATATTTCGCGCCAAATCTGGCAACCCTAAACCCGCTTCGTGGAAAAGCTATCATACCGCAGCTGGGTATTTAGTAACTGTATATAATAATTTTCATATTTCATATTTTGTCTAAAAACACCCGCCATTCTATAACATGCCTAGGTAGTCTATAGAATGCCAGCGTTTCATACACTGCAGGTAATATACACTGGTGTGCAAAATTTAAGGACGAAGTCGAAAAATTAGCATATCAGCTGAACGAAGAGGCAGAGCGGACAGAAAGACCAGTCAGGAGATTAAGCAAGGTGATGTTTTTATAGGAATGATTTGAGATTTTTAGAAACTTTAAGGATTCCGATTTGCAAAAATCTCTGATTATTTCATTGTTTCGCTCATAAAACACATTTACTTTATACAGTTTTCGATAACAGCAACATAAATGAAAATACCATTGTACAAATCAACGAGTTGCGTTTGCTTTTCATTTTTGTGATTCAGTGGCAACAACATTTATTTAAGCATCGACATGCAACGTTCCATCGCAATCCGGTATCCAAAATCCCAAAACGGATCCTTGAATTAAAATCTTGAAAAGCAAAACATCGTTCCACTTTTGCCGTTGAATCACAAAATATGAAAGCGATTTGTTGACTAGTTACATCATTTAATTAGTTATTTCAGAGATTTAGTTTCTTTTTGTCCATGCGGTATTGAAAAACTGTAGAATTTTGATTTGTCGAGCTCCAGGGTTCCACGAAATAAATTTTGAAAACTACCGGTTTAAAATAAATATAAATAGCTGCTTACCTTGTCAAATAAATTTCCAGTACGATCTACTGACTGCTACCACTTTGGAATCCGTCTTATTTGGCAAGAGAGGCTTTATCCAATGATTATCAGATCCGAGAATATTTACTAATAAGCTTCGCTGCCTATCGGCGGGTAGTGCTTCAAGTTCACGGCCATAGATCTCTCGGCGTCTGATTAGAAGTGGTAAACGGACTCTAATAACCCTGTCTTTCATTTGGTTATTTTTTTCGTTAGTGCCCACAGTGAAACGTCAAATTTAGATAAAGCTGCATTTTGTAACTTAAAATCTGCACGTTGATAGCAAATAACAGAATTTTCTGTTTTATTTCGAGACGCAGATTTATCGCAATCCGCCAAACGTATATTAGGTAACGCAGAATTTAAAAAATCTAATGTTGAAACCACATGACTTACTTGTACGGCCTATTAAATTATATACACGTTTTGCCGCACGTCATTTAAACTTATTTTCCCGAATTATTCTAACTTAATTAACCAATCCCTCAAAGCAGACTTAAAATATCAAAAATTGAAAATTTTGAAATTAAATATCTCGGTGAATTTTTTGTTGTATGGGAATCACATTGCTTATAATTTTCTTTTTTTTTTTTCAGAACGAATATAAAACTTTCCCAAATATAATTTAAGGAAGCGGAAAACCGCATTAAAAGTTATATTTCGTTATTAGCCAAAAATATTTTTTTTTTCTTTCTTTTTTTTTTTTTTTTAATATTTTATTTGACATTGCTACAACATGAGTATTTTCTTCATTTGAAATACTTCTGTAATAGGAAGTATATGACTACGATCAATGCTTGCGAAAATAAAGGCCAGGTAAGGGGATGGTTAGATATATGTGTGTGTCTGTATGTGTGTGTGATGTTTTTTTTCGGGGGGGGGGAGATGAAATTCACACAAATCACGGTTGAGTCATGGCCGAGAAGACTGTTTCTTAGTTGTGGTGAAAATGTTCTGACTGTTGGTGTGAAGTTAACAACTGGCTTGCTGGTGTAAAATATCATTTAAATTTTTTTACAGGATCAGTTATTCAGAAATATACTTCGGATTAAAACTGATGATTAAACTAGGGATGCTAAACATGTCCCACAATTTCGATATGCGTAGTTTATAGTTTAGACAATGAAGAAGATTGGATTTGGATTTGGATTATTCAGTTATGGCAAAGCACACGAGGGATATCTGCCTAAGGGGAGGGATGCCTTTCGTGGAGAACTTTCTAAGGGAAACTGGCTCGTATACACGTTACACATGGGGAAAACCACGAAAACGCCCATGCAGCCAGCCCGTTCGCGGGATTTGAACCTCAGACCGAACTACCAGTGTTCAGCGTCTTTACCGTTCGGCCGCTGGTGGGCCAATGAAGAAGAAGGCGAAGCGAAAAAAGTGGTTTATTCAGGCAACAGAGCAAGTGAGAAAAGAGGATGCGTATTAACTTCAGTTCTATTTATAGTCAGAAAGTCATTGTGCATAATCATGCATTGTGTGCCATTGTGCATAATCCTGAGCAGCGACCGGGTTACACATGTCGCTCTGCACGGAAAAAAAGGACTAACGTGCAGCAGAGTAACGCAGGAAAACATGTCCTTGGAAGCGGGAATTCGTTAAATTAAAATTAATGAATCTGAATATATATTGCCAGTTGATTTCAATTAAGTTTAATAATTTTGTTTCATATTTTATATTTGACATACATACATAAATATATATGTATATGTAAAATAAATTCATAAATTTTAATTAAACGCATCCCCACTTCAAAGGACACGCTTTGCTGCGTCACTCTGCGGCATGTTTCGTCACTCTTTTTCTGCAATTACTCTGCAATGCGGAATCTTTAGCACGAAAGCTGCTCAGAATTAACCCAATGATTTTCCAGCTATAAATATGACAGCTGTTCGTACGCATTCATTTTTCTGACCTGCTGATGCTTGAGCAAACAACGTCTCTTGCTGCGCCTTCCTTCTCTACTCTTTAAAATGTAAACTGCGCATACCGAAATTGTGAGGCGCGATTAGTATCCTTAGTGTGGTACCAACTTTAGCAAAAATGTTATTTCTGAGGAATTTGTTTCCTATTCAAAATAAATTGATATTTTAATGATCCAGACTTGTTTTAATTTTCCCTCCAGTCATCTGCGCAGCAGTTTTTCTCTACCATGACTAAGGAATGAATTGGTTTCACCTTCTGTAAAAGCTGCAGCATCACAGAGGGGAATTTGTAAAATATAATAATATGATGGTAATTTGTCAATAAATTAAACTTAATTGGGACAAACTGGCAATAGACCCTTAAATTACTAATTTGAATATATGTACATATCCCTTTGCTCTGCGATCTTTCCTTGTAGAAACTGCAATGCGAAAAATCTTGTCCAATCGCTGTATAGGATTGAAACAATGCACTCTGAAAATTATAAATATTCTGGCCATGATATACGTACACTCTTTTGCTTTTCACTTCTTTAAACAGCACTAGTTTTAGAGGCCAAATGTAATGAGTTCAGAGCTTAATTTTTATTTTTGATGCCAAAAACAAATTTAATGATTCACTTGATGATATTTAACTTTCAGAATGACGTTGAAAATTGAAAGGAAATGCATTTCGCATTACAGTTCACTGACTGGCCTTGACCTAGTTCGAAAACTTTAACTCAATCGTTTCCCTTTGAAACACTTTCGATAATGCACTGAAATCAACACACCTTGGGTGATAAAACTTTCGGGATATCTTTCAATCATTTGCTTTTGAACTTGCGGATACCTTTCCATTAGGGTCTGTCGCATAGGTTTTGCTGTAAGATATAAAAATACGACGGCAATTTATTAACAAATTAATCTGCTTCTCAATTTCAGCTAATTTAAGACGTTCGATCTCTAATAGATAGTGTTCATTACTTTTTGTAGGCCTCCGATCCTCGGCGATCAATTTAACGACTACACGAACAAATTCAGCATTTCTTTTGAAGACATCAGACTTTTCGATAATTTTTCTAATGTCAGCTTTTTTAGCATTTTCTGGAACAGTCTGTCCAATTTGTTCCGCAATTACTATTAAATCACTTTTCTTTAAATTATTCAAGAAACTCATTTTAAAAACGAAACAGAAGTATCACTAGCTTCAAGAAATAATTAAAGCTTTCTCTGAAGTATTCTAACGTTTTCACAGTACTTTCTCTGAAGTATTCAAGTATCCCTGACAGGCCCCCAGATTTTCTGTGGTAGGGGGGTTGAAGATGCTAGGCCTAGGAAAATTAAAAAGTCCAACGTTTTCCACACCACAGACGTTTAATAAAAATAACAGAAAAGGTACAGATTGAATTAAATACAGGTGCTGTTGCGCCTTCTCGCGCTTGTTAGATATAAACACCGTTTTTTTATCACTTTTAGAATTTAAATAGCAGCTTAGCGCCTATTCGCACTAGCTGTCGTATATGCACTAAAGTTACCACCTCCTCGTGGAAACATACAGTTCATTATTCAACCACCTTCTCGTGGAGACATCTTACCACCTTTGCGAAGGATAGACGACTGTCTCTCTATATGTCCTCCTCTTCTTTCACCTCGCTCTCGCTGATGGCGCATAGGTGGCTGTGTTGCACTTACGGATACCACAGCTCGTCCGTCCTGACTCTGTTTTCGCCCTCGAAAACACGGATCAGCGACACTGGTTCATCAAGACAACACCTGAAAATAAATTTAAAAAAAAGAAAAAAAAATAGAAGTGCGGAAGAACCACACACAGTCTTAGACAGGAACAGTCCAAGGCTTCATGTGATCAGCTGCTGTAGTGGTACATCCATTCCATTCCATTGACGGAAAACGCGAGCACTGTACCTTTACCATAGGGTGAATCAGTTCAGCACCGTGCCCCCCAAGATCTAGAGCAGCCAAAGAGCTTCATGGTGTCCTTCTTTTTCCACCTGGTACCGATCTTTGCCTTTCCTCGCTGTTACACGATATGGACCGAAGAACTTTGGCCTTAACTTCAGACCACCTCCATATTGCGTTCTTTGTATGGCAACTAGGTCGTTCACATTGTATACCTGTGTCACTTTTCTCTTCTTATACATTTTTCTATTGCCTTCCTGAATTTTTAGAATGTTTTACCTTGCTTCCTCTCTCATATCTTCTCGATCTTTGATCATAATATTTCTTTCTTCTTCTTCGAGAATTTCCATAATCTTTAAGTCCTCGCGACTTCTCATTTTAACACCAGTGAGGAGCTCAAATGGAGAACTCTGTGTGCTTCTGCTCTTAGTGCTGTTCAAGATCCGTTGTACATCTTCAAATTATTTGTACCACTTGGTTGGATCATCTGTGGATAATTTGGATAGGACTGGAATCAGAGTGAGATGAATTCTTTCCACTTGTCCATTTCCTCTAGGATGCATCTTGAGCTGATGTAGACTTTACTAGATAGAGCCGCACGAACTTTGTGAATGCATCAACCACGGTTAAGATATGATTGTAATTCTTATTTGTCGAAGGTAATGGTCTTATAAAATCGATATGAAAAGTGCTCAATGGGATACTATCTTTTCGTATGGGATTCAGCGAGTCTTCGCCCTTACCTCGTTTTCTGTCCCACAAAATACATTGTATACAATTTGAGATAACTTGTTCAATTCGTTTTCTAAGGTTAGGAATATAAAAGTTGATTTTCAGCAGACCTTCCCTTTTAAATACTGCGAAGTGTCCCTTGTTGTGGATACTACGTATGATTTCTAGCTGTAATGCTTCGGATACCACAAGTAACTCGCGACCACTATCGAACTTGTATAGTATACCATTCTTCACTAGGAAATTTTTCTTTAGTCCTTGCTCGACTAAGGATTTTAGCAACTGGAGACACACATCACTTCTTTGCGCAGCTGCAGTTTTGGGTGTAATTTCTTCCTGAACAAGTAACCATCATGACAGAGTCTACTAACGAATCCACTGCTTCATTCTGCCCAGATCTGGAATTTCGTAGGCATTCTTCTAGAAGTACGCGCATCTCGCACTTAGGGTTAAATCCTTCTTGAACTCTCTTCTGAAAGCATCGCATCCGTATTATTCTAACCTTAAATTTAGAATAACCTAAACTAATTTCTGAATTTCTTTAGAGCTCATTATTAGATAATT